ATGCTGGGAACGATGGAGGGCACAAGAAGAAGAAGGGGACGGCAGAGAATGAGGTGGCTGGATGGAGTCACCAAAGTTGTCCATGGGATCGCGATGGGTCGGACACGACTTCGCAACTAACAACAGCGAGTTGTTCATAATGATTGTCGCAAATGGACTGAAAATAATTTTGCAATAATTTATTCATGAGGATCAATATGGGGTTTTAACTAAACTAGGTTAAAGAACAAGGTTAGAAATGTGTTAGACATTTTGGAAGCTTTTAAGCAACAGAATGGAATACTAGCTGTGTTGCTCTTAGACGCAGAAAGCTCCTTCGACAATTTGTCCTGGGCGTTTTGTTAAAGGTTTTGGAAGATGTGAATTTTGGGGAGAACTTTACAAAATGGGTACAAAAGTGACAATAAAATTATTCTAAGTTCTAAGTGTAATCCCAACTTCCTCTGATACACGCGAAGACACCATAAATATCCATCAAAAGGTCTTGGAGTTAGGAAATGCAGGCGGTCCTTGACTTACGGCCACAAAATTTCTGTTCTTAAGCGAGACATTGGTTAAGTGAGTTTTATCCCATTTTGCGACCTTTCTTGCCACAGTTGTTAAATGAATCACTGCAGTTGTTAAGCTAATACCATGGATGTTATGTGAAGCTGGCTTCCCCATTTGCTTGTCAGAAGATCGCCAAAAGTGATCACATGACCCTGGGACGAGTAACTGTCATAATTATGAATCAGTTACCAAGCATCTGAATTTTGATCACATTATCCTAGGGATGCTACAATGGTCATAAATGTGAAAAACGGTCGTAAGTCACTTTTTTCAGTGGCCTTGCAACTTTGAGTGGTCACTAAATGAACTGTTGTAAGTCGAGGACTACCTGTACTGTATCTCTAGCAAGATCTGGGGAAGTAAAGAATCTAGGACAGATAAATAGAACTAGTAAAAATTCACACAGCTTTTTTCTGATATGCCTATTGCTTAGCAAGCATTTGTCTTACTCTAATTGCAATTTATAACTCAGCTTAATTGACTCTGGGGTGCATCACATACAAAGAAACTCAATCAAGCAATTGTAAGGAAAAAAATATGTTCTCTCTTTTCCAATGGGAGCTATTTAGCATATCCACGTGAACCTCTGCTAATTATGTATAAAATTTTGTAGCCTATTGCTGATGCTCTTTCTGTTGTTGCTGCTCATCAGATTTATTTATTATATTTATTTGTTAAATTTATTTGCCGCCCATCACACCGGTGGCTTACAACAGTCAAGCGGGGGGAAAATAATTAAAAAGTGCAAACATAACACTAGCAAAGCAATGAAATAAAAATAAACAATAAAAGTACAATAACACGAATTAAAAGATGGATGGAATGGGAGCAGGAAGCTCAGGGGAATGATAGGGAAGACTCTGTAATCTCTATACGGCTACAATATTTGGGCTTCAAGCTTCTGGACAACCACTAGAGGGCAGCAAAGAGATATGGGGGGAAAAATCCCTCTTAGAAGCCCTCTAGTGGCCAGTTGGATGTTTCCACCCTCACGATTGCTGTGTAATAAGTAGCTTTACCTGTTTGGAAAGTTTCCACAGCTCCCCAAACCTGCCTTCCTAAATGTTGCATCGCATATCTCGTTTTAGAAGTTTTTTTGAGGTGTAGGGATGACAAGTGATAGTTCCAAGTTTTAGGTACTTACGATTGATGGCTGGCTGGTTCCTCACTGCCCTTGCTGATGTAGCTGGCTGGAACATAGCCCACGACTCTATCTCCAGAGAAGCGCCTTGCTAGGACATAACCCCCTTCTTCTTTGAGGACATAAAGTTTGTCTCCTCTAGTAACACTCAGCTCCTCGGCATTCTTGGCAGTGTAGTTGTACAGCACCCCACGGAGGGAAGCTTTGTCTTCAGCAGGGTCAGGATCCAGCGTGGGATGTAAGGATCCCGGGATCGGCTCCCAGGACTCTAAAGAACGGTTACTGGAGGCTCCGTTGGGCACACACTTGTTCCAAAACGTATGAAAGAAATGCAAGTGTTTTCGGATGAAATTGTCCATCCCTTTTTTGGGGGAAGTTTCTCCAAGGAGATTTAACTCTGCTCTTCCAATAAGCTGCTCAGAATGAAGAAGGAAAGCCTTATCACCTTCATAGTTTCTTCTTTCATTGCTTGTTGATCAATGAGTCAAGGTTGCCCTCCCGTCTTCTCTCTCCCAGAGCCAGCTGAAGTGAAGTGAGATGCTTCTGGGTCCTTGGATACCTGAATGTGTTTGTAGGCCACGGGAACTCCTCGCTTCCCAAAGGGAGACTTGACGTTCAGGTGTAACTTGTTTGCTGCGGGCTGAGCTCATAAGTTTAGGCTTGCCACCACATCCGTCTCAGCTGGATGTTTGTTTATTACCCAATCAACTCACTCACCTGTCGGGCTATACTCTAAATTAGCACTCATTTCCACATCGTCCCTTACAGAGTTTTTCCATTCACTTTTCGTGGCCATCAAAAAGTCTATTCTGTGGAATGTCAATGGAGATTCTTTTTTTTTTAATGAGAATTTTGAAAAACAAGCTTTACAAATATTTACTGAATATTTCTTCTGAACTGAAGAAGCTTCTTGGATGAAAAGCACAATATTTTCAAAGAAGAAACCAAGAAAGTCCAGCTGCATTTTGGGATATTCTTCAGAATGCAGCAGCATTTGCAAAGCCTTTAAAAACACTCTTGAAAAATAACCCGGAGGAATCTGTTAATATGTTCCTTCCACCTTTTTATCAATTCTCCCAGCTGTGATTTTTAATCTTAAATTTATACAGATTAATAGTGGACCTTCAAAACCTACCAATTCACCTAGGTAATATGCTAGATCAGTGTTTCTCAGTCTCAGCCACTTTAAGATGTGTGGACTTTAAACTCCCAGAGTTCCCCAGCCAGCATGGAATTTGGGAAGTTGAAGTCCAGGCATCTTAAAAGTGGCTGAGATTGAGAGACCTGCTAGATTGTAAAATTGGTGATTTCCAACCTGAATTCCGAGCAAAGCGTACAAATTATGTCTATCCTGTTTCTGATTGCTCTCATGATTGCAATCTCTGATCTATGGGTGATTGCAAAATTCATCTATCATCTCTTTTCTCCACCTGTGTAATGTTAACTTCCGCAGTGATGAAAACCTTTGATTTGTTTATTTATATATTAGATTTTTATCCAGACTTTACTATTTGTACAAGTAACTGAAGGCGGAGAACATATCCAAGACACTTCCGCCTCCTATTCCCCCCCCCCCCCCCCGGCAATAACAACCTAGTGAGGCGGGTTAGGCTAAGAGAGAGTGACTGGTCCAAAGTCACCCAACCAGTTTTTATGGCTAAGGTGGGACTAGAATTCATTGTTTCCTGGTGATTGGCTCAGGGTCACCCAACCAGCTTTCATGACAAAGGTGAGAGTAGAACTCACAGTCGTCTGCTGATTGGCCCAAAGTCACCTAATCAACTTTCATACCTAAGAGTTGGGAGGGAATTCGCGGTCTTTTACTTTCTAGCTTGGTGCCTTAACCACTATAGACTAAAAAATCTGCCTTAACCGCTGGCCCAAATCCCTGCTTTTCCCCTCCCCTCTCGACTTGTATGGCTGTGCGATTCTTGGTTATTTTAATTACTTGTATTTTGTTCTATGTTCCCCTTTTCCCCTTTTGAGTTGTTCGCCGCCCTGAGTCCCTCCCGGAGAAGGGCGGCATACAAATAATAAAATTCAATTCAATTCAATTCAATATTGGCAGCAATATAGAGTTTGGAGAACTTAGAGTAATATCCTCTAATACTACTATTACTATACTATTAATAATAGTGCTATTGCTACATCTATTACTACTAATATTTCTACAACTATTGTTTATACTGTTACTATTACAGTATTATTCTTCCAACTTCCTTTTTTATGCTGTAGTTGCTAGGAGACCCAATTTTTACATCAATACTAGATATGGATAATGCAATAGGGACTGCCTTCTTGAAGGGTATATATAGTATGATCCTGTCTCTTCTTTAAATTACATGTTACGTCAGCCTGACCAAAACTTGCCTACTACTTAAGAAAAAGGCCCCTGAGCAATGTAATATTATACATGTTCACCCAAAAGTAATTCATATGCAGCGAGTAGGACTTACATCTTATTAAAATGTATGTTCCTTTTTTTTTTTTTAAGGTATGCCCTTTAGAAATGTTTTGACTCCAACAAAGGGTAAATCAGAAGAATCTTTGTGGGTAGTGGCAATAAAGAACTAAATGATTAATAAATGGCATTATAATTATCCTTTGCAGCAAAAAGAGTGAGGGGAAAATGAGAGAAAGGGAGGACACTTTTGACAGTTTGACACTTAAAATCCTGAATTTGAAGCTGTGGTGGCCACCCTCTTCAATCACAGAGCAAGTATGATACAGGTAGTCCTTGAGTTACAACAATTCATTTAGGGACCATTTGAAATTAAAAGGGCACTGGAAACTATGTGACCCTGCCACTTAGTGTTGCTAGTTATGGCAATCTCAGTTCCTGTTGTCAAGTGAGGTCTGTGTGGGCTACTAACAAAGGACCTTATGTGACCATAACGTCTAATTTCCTGCTGTCCTCCCCATTGTCTTTGCTTTTTGGAAGCCTGACAGGGAAGGTTGTGAATCACAATTCCATGACAATGGGATGCTGCAACGGTCAGAAGTATGAGCTGGTTGCTGAGTGCCTGAAACAGACAAATGTGACTGCCTCAGACTTCCTGCTGGCTTCCCCATTGATTTTACTTGTTGGAAGCCAACAGGAAAAGCTGAAAATTATGATCACGTGACAACTTGAAATTGGCAAAAGTGTGAGCCGATCACTGAGCTTTTGAAACACAATTATGTGGTTGCAGGGGTACTACGATGGCCACGACTTTGAGGATCAGTCGTAAGTACCACTCCTTCAGTGCCATTGTCACTGAATGAATGGTCATGAAGCAAGGACTACCTGTCTAGCACCAAATACCTTCATACCGAGGGTGGGGTGGGGTGTGGAGGGGAGGGGGAATTCATAGTCTTTTTCTTTCTAACCTGGTGCTTTAACCACTGTAGACCAAAAAACCTGCCTTAACCACTGGCCAAAATCCCTGTATTTTGACAGCAATGTAGATTTTTGACTCCAACAAAGGGTAAATCAGAAGAATCTGGTAGAGAAATATTTGTAGGTAGTGGCAATAAGAACTAAATGATTAATAAATGGCATTAAAATTATCCTTTGCAGCAAAAAGAGTGAGAGAAAGGAAGGGAAGGACACACTAGCTTGTTTGACACTTAAAATCCTGAATTTGAAGATTTGGTGGCCACCCTCTTCAGCCCCAGAGCTATACATCTATCATCTATCTATATATCATCTATCTAACTTTTTCTACCATCTACCTACTTACCTATCTACCAATCTATCATCTATCCATCTTCCTATCATCTATCTATTGATATATCTAGCTATCATCTATCTACTATAGGTCTACCTACCTATCTATCCATCAATCACTCCATTTATCATCCATCTATAATTATCTATCTTCTACCATCTATTTATCTACCTACCTATATATCAATAAATCACTCTATCATCTATCTTTCCATCTATCTATCTATCTATCTATCTATCTATCTATCTATCTATCTATCTATCTATCTATCTATCAATCTATCCGTCCATCCATCCATCCACTGACCCACCCACCTACCCACCTACCTATCCAGGTAGTCCTTGACTTGTGACACAGTTGGGACCAGAAATTCTATTGCTGAGTAATGCAATTGTTAAGGGAGTCACTCCAATTTCTCAACCTTTCTTTGTTAACCCAAAGGTAGGTAGTGGCAATAAAGAACTAAATGATGAATAAATGGCATTATAATTATCCTTTGCAGTAAAAAGAATGAGGGAAAAATATAGCAGTAGACTTATATACCGCTTCATAGGCCTTTCAGGCCTCTCTAAGCGGTTTACAGAGAG